ACTAGGAATATGGGAATCACGATGATGGCCTCTCGAATTCGGAGATCAACCTTGTTAGCCGCATGAAAATATCAGCCACTATTAACAGTCTAAAAGAAAAGGAAAAAGTTTATATGTTTATATGAACACATTATCAGAGAGGTTAAGCTTCACGGTTAGGTCAAACGGCAAACGCCCCGTGACCAAGTTTATCATTTTCTTGTAGTTTACTGTTCATTATTTAAACACATAAATTAGTAGTTTCACCCCACTTTTTACCCATAAGAATTTTTTTGAGCAGTTTTTAATGAGCTCATTTTGTATTCTGAGAAATTCTCAACTTGAATCTGACTTTGCCGTATACGAGAAGCTTAAACCACCTATCGGGAGTGCAGCTGAAAAGGGGCGTAGGCGAGGCCAGCATAGCAAACAAGCACAGGCCCCCTTTTTTCTAGCGATTTCTTCTCGAGCTTCTTACCACTTTCTAAAAGCATGGGCCCTAATTCATTGCACTCACGACTTCCCATTTACTACCTCGTAAAAATTTGCTCATAAATCCGGTGACTAAACGTGTATTTACTGAAAGAGTATCACTTTAATAATCAAATACAGAAGTCGGAGGCTGAACCTCATACAACGTTTTTTAACTTTATCAGCTCTCAAATAATTCTCCTTGGCATAATCTTGATTTTGATTTCAGCTGATGCTATGAAGATTCCAAAGCTTTCATGGGTTTCATAGCGCAGGAAAAATGCGTGCAACTACATAAAATTATCTTAACTCTATTTTTAGTGGTTTCCCTCCGTGTGTTAGTAAAACCACATCCCAGTATCGCAAAATAGATTGCAAATAATTTTTCCTGTAAAATCAAATACACTTTTACGCGGAACAAAGGCAAAATTCACAATTTTTAGTTCAATATTATGCCCGTAAGCTGCTACCTATAATTAAGTTGTAATTTCTAGCTGAAATACCATTTGCAAGTTAAGCAAACTATTGACCGTTAAAGTAATTGAAAAAGGCGTTTCTCCTTCCCGTTGACGTTGTTTAAGAATTGGGGTTTACTGCAGTTTGTCATTGTCAAACATTGATATTACAAGGTGAATCAACACTCGCTTGGTGTTCCTATAGGTGCATGGTATATACAGAGAAAGTGGCTTAAAATAATTTCCTAGAAGTATCAAGCCATTTGTATTTTAATGCAAAAGAACGAAATGTGTAATTTTTTTGTTTTTCTCACTGACTAATTCCTCAATCGAAACGTGGTCATTTCAGTGCAAACTTAAGATAAGGTGATGATTTAATATCACTGATAAAATCTTATAAACTATACTCCCAGAGCACTGATCAGCAACGCGCAAGTTTTATGTCCTACTTTCCTCGATATGTTTCTTAAGGATGCCAGGAAGATTCTAACGTTCACTTGACAAGAAGTGAAGACAAGTTTCTGCATCCTGAAACGATCCACGCGTGTCCCTTTGAGAAGTTTCCTTGTGAAATAATTAAAGTAAAAACATATTGGAGATAAGAACTATAATTAATTTACTTGTTTCCATTTTTAATTTATTTTTCAAGCCAACAGAAAACAAAAAATCTGCAAATACGCTGAAAAAGCAATAATAGACGAACGAAACAGTTGGACTGTAGGACGAGCGATCATCACACTTGAAGTGGAACTAAACCATTCGTTAACCGCTTACAAGAAAACCACTGATAACCGTGAAATATACCAAACCAAAGATATTACCAGATTCGCAGCCCTATTGACTTTGCGGATCCATTTAAGCTGTTGGGCTCGACCTTAAGCTAATTTCAAACCCTATGTGTGTTGTGGAAATGGCTTGTGAGAAATAAAAGAGGGCATTTTCTATTTTGAACCTTGTTGTGTATACCGGTTCGTTGTTAAACACAGCACCTGCTGGCGCTTCTTGCGGAGAATAGCAGCACCAGCTCTGTGAATTCAGGTTACCAGGGGTTCCATCATTGTTTTCTAAATCAAAATAGAATGTGCGATTTCGCAACAAGTTAAGAAGAACCTCTAATTTCGAAAAAATCTCTTTAAAAAACGTAGAGAAATGATCTAAGCTGCTTCCGTCGGCTTCTAATCCAAAGGCATATCAACAATAAAGTCAGAATCATTTCTTATTTCGTCGCTTGATCTAATCAGATTTTCTCTAAATAAGACTGGTTTGTCGTTACGGCCTGAGTTACTTTGAATCGCATTTTTCCTTACATTTACAATCAAAGGTTTTTCTGACGAGTCGCTTATTACGCTTCTATCTTATTGGCTGCGGCGACATAGTAAATAGAAAACCTTTTTTCTTATGAGAAATTGCAGAACCACAGGGGACACCAGAAATAGGCGGAAAGAGCTGTGATAAGATGAATAACTAAATCCGTTTGAAGGAAGAAATGCTAATTAGTTCTGCCTTAATCAATAAAAGGAAAATATTGGTTAAAAACATAGTACGACTTCCCTTTCTGAGATATGTTTTAGTCGCAGCAACAAAAATATTGTCAATTTCGTACCTTTGAATGTCCATCGAAATAATTTCGTCTTCTGAGGGCGTCCTTTGCGGTTTTACAATTTAGCTTTACGGAAAATTCATCTTACTGTACCACCATATCGCTTTTTTTCAGTTAGTTTTGCAGCACTTTCCTTAATCTCCTTTAGTTATTTCGACACATTTGTTCTTTCCTGTTTCCGTGGAAGCGCTGCAAAGATTTGTTAACCTTGATAGCGCTGGTATGCATACATGAATATCGCTGCACCTCGAAAACTGTTCAGTTATGTACGGTCATGTACACACTGGCAAGACCGTCTATTTTTAATGGAATACTTGATAGAGTTTTACATAATAAAAGTGAAAAACATTAATTTTTACTGTGAGACGCGTTTGCTACTGCTAGCGTTAAGGTTTAAAAGAAAGCGGGGAAGAAAGACGAGAGGTTCATTTACGTTGACAGGATTTTTAGATGCCGAGCACCGAGAGTTTACAACATGGAGGAAAATCTAACTTGGGAGTCTCCTCTGTTGTATCAAACCACGCGTCCTTGGATCGTGGAATCACCAAAAGAATGGGGCTAGGGCTGGCTCGGTAGCGTATCCTACATTTTCTTCTTTTTATCGTAGAATTGAATTTTTTTTAGCGTCTGTTTGGGTTCGTGTTTCTCCGCTTAGATCTCGAAATAAATTCAAATGTAAGCAATTAGCATTTTATCAGCAGAGTATTGAGAAAATTGAAAATTTGCATTGACAATCATTTTCGCGCTGGGAGATGATTATTTCAACAGCGAAATGGACCTAGTTATAAACCACGCTCCGGTTTGGCAAGCCTTTGAGAGGCGTATGTTAAAAATACAAATTAAAAGATTCGCGATTTTGGTTTGGCCATAAAACGAGAATTCTCGTATTTTTAGAACAAAAGGCAGCTGGAATTGACATCTGGTAAACATGGCTTCATTTGTTATCGTCTTCATTATATCAGACCAATATGGGCATTAGAATCACAACGATTTTCATTGTATTTGTAATTCACCTAAGATAAGCTTTTCGAGAAGGGAAGCTAGCGATTAATAGTATATAAGTAAAGCGTTCGTGGTTCTCTACAAAGCACTCTAATGACGGAATTTCCGAAATTTGTTTTCGATTCAGTGGTATAAATCTGCAATAATCTCGAGAGATCCTGAATTACGTCAAAAGAAACCTAAACATTTTAAGTCGATGCAGTATAATCGCGAGCAAAGAATTTTATCGCAAAGAATGGAATAATAAACCTAAATAGTTTGAATGGGAATTCTCCCTTATCCGTTACCGTGACGAAAAAATAGCTGGGTCTTGCGGAGTAAGTACATACTATGCAGCCAGGTTCAATCATGAAATGAAGGATTTTTTTCCTCTTTAGCGAGTGAACCTATTAAGCGAAGGGCGGAGCGCAAAGAACCTGTCACGTTCAATTTCTAGTTATACAGTTGCAGTGTTTTGAAGATCGGGCCTTGCTTTGCATGAGAACCGGAAAGTTCTATCGCACGCGGAGTAATCAGGTAGAGAAATAGATAAAAATAAATAGCAGTTTTCGCGTGATTGCATGCAACAAATTTCCCTTTGCACAAACAAGTCGCAAGAAAAATGATTGATCGCTTTTTCAATAAAGAGCGTAGTTAAAACTTGACAACAATACGTCCAATTCTGTTTTCTGTTAGTTTCACTTTCTTGGAGTTTACCATCATTAGCTCGACGAAGTTTGTTTTGTTTATATTAATTCTTAACCAATGAGAAGTTATAACAGTCGTAATTATCTCTCTTCCAGCCGAACTCATTAATGTAGAGCTTAGTTCATTCATCAAGCTAATTCTACGCGCCAGAAAGATTTTGGTTTCGCGGCCAATGGCGCTGTAGCAATGGCCCACCCCTTACACGTGTGTGGCGTGTGCCAAACAATAACCCGATTACACTTGAATTGGAAATTGCCAAGAAATCGCGCTCATTGGCTCTTCTCTTTATTGAAGGGAGAGTGTAAGTGCGTTAATGAATTTTAATAAAGGGATTAATTGTCTCAAGCCGATTTGTTGGTAAAAAAAATGTTACACCTCGGTACACAACTTCACGCATGGTTACCGCTTGGAAAAACGCCTCAAAAGTCGCCGAAACGAAAACTGCCACAAAAAGCGATAAAAGCGATTCTGCCTTTAAATTCCACAAGTAGTTTTTACCGGTCCTAATCTTGTCGGACAATAAAAAGATACCCGTAACTGGTGATTGCCGAAATTTTTGTTATCAGTTTCCCCCCGCAGATGTTTCATGAATGAGTTATTTTTTCCCAGCGAACCGGGTCAGCCGAGAGTTGGAACTCGCGACCGTGTCAACTCAGGCAGGTTCAGCTGCCGTTGTACGCACGCGCAGAATTAATTTTTAATCTACGCGTGCGCAAGGGGGTGGAAACAGGTGCATGTGAAGTGCAAATGTTGTTAACACAATGATAATGATTGTCTCTTTCTTTACGGGCACTCTGACTGCATTTAAGAACATTTTCACGCCATGCTAGTAGGCTTCAGTTCGCCGTGAAACGTCTCCGAGATGAATCGCGACAGTTTACTGAATAAGACGCTTAGTCCTCCTCTTTCATCTCGAGTACCTATTTCGCATTCTAATGGTATTGCTTACTCTAATTCTTCGTTTTCCGGAGGCCAGATGAATGAGCCAAGCTGGATACCCTCGATTCGTGGATCTACTCACTCGGTATTTATTCTGAAATTTTTATTTGATGCTTTTTGTGATATTTGCGTCCGCGCGCCCGCTTGTCGGTCTCGAGTACTGGCGTTCGCTCGCTCGCCCGCATCGGCTCTTTGGCGCTTTTTTTTCGCACTCAAAAAAATTCTTGCGCTTGATAGACTATAAATAACTATTTTTTCCTCTTCTTGTTATAGCTGTCTTTGCCGTCAAGATCTAACAACCTGGTATGTGATAAATAAAATAAATACAACTTGATCGAATTCATTTCCGTTAGTCAATATTACACTCGGGTGCTCAAACATCGATCCTCTCTTCCTGCTTATAGATTCCTCCAAGTGTGTTTGATGGCTTCGACGACGCGCACCTACTCTCTACGTCGCAGCTCGAGCCTATTCCGAAATATCTCTCCACGAAGCCGAGTAAGCCTTCAGGATTTGCAAGCCTGCACAGCTATCACTCAACTCACTCGCACGATACGAGCACGTACGATGCTCACGATATTCTGGATCAGATCTCGGCCTCACTACAACCAACAGTAAGCGAGTCAGCTTTTGATAAACCGTTCGAAACGCCATCGCCGATAACCGCCACGCCTGCTCACTCTTTACACTCAGCTCTCCATTCTGCTATCAGCGTGGCAGCCAGTAGCGACGATGTTATGAATCCTAGAGAGCTAGAATGGTTTGCAGAACGTTTCAAACAAAGAAGAATCAAGCTTGGCGTAACCCAGGCAGACGTTGGAGCTGCACTAGCCCATTTGAAAATCCCTGGTGTGGGCTCGTTGAGCCAGTCAACGATATGTAGGTTTGAGTCTCTTACACTGAGTCACAATAATATGATGGCATTAAAACCCGTACTGACAGCATGGTTAGAAGAGGCTGAGAAAGCGTACAAATTGAAGAATACAACAAGCCAATTTCTTCCAAATTCGGATAAAAAAAGAAAGCGAACATCGATCGGTGCCGCTGAGAAGCGTTCACTGGAGGCCTACTTCGCCATGAACCCGAGACCTTCAAGCGACAAGATTGCGTCTATCGCTGAAAAACTGGACCTTTCAAAAAATGTCGTGCGGGTATGGTTCTGCAACCAACGACAAAAGAAGAAAAGAATGAAATTTTCCGTCCACTAGAGATGAAATATTATGGAGGAAATTCTGAAATTTCCTGCCGGAAATCCCCTGTAAAATGGCTCCACGGATGGACGGTACTTTGTGTGGATGAATGTATTGAGGAGGCCGGTCCGAAACGACAGAGTTGGAGAAAATTACAAATGGTGATTTTATTTATACCCTAGACTGAATTTTTAAGTCAATGAATGAAGCAAGTACTGATTTTTATTGCTGTTACTATTAAGCTACTGACTGATGTCTAAAAATGCGATAGTTCGCGGCTATCTAATGAAAGGACGCACTCGAAATTGATAGAAATTACCTCGTCTGAAAAGCGCGGAAGCCCTTACGAACGGCGATGGAAGACGTTTCGTTATCTTCGAGAAATTATCGCGAACAGCTTAACAGCCCGCAGGTAAATAATATTCAGTGTATACCCTATTAGCTTAACAACGAAGAGAAAAAATTCCGAAACATAAATCACTTCCGCTTAGAGTAAAATTATTCATCATCCATTTTGCCACAATTTCACCGGAGTAACGATCGAAGTTTCGATTTTAAGGCCCGAGGTTTAGATGATAATAAGGCCCGAAATGATTTGGCGGGCTTTACACCTGTTTCACTTTGCCAAAACCAATTTCCCCATTTATGAAAAGTTGAATGTATTACTTGCAATTTATGTAAATTTGGAAGTTCTTTGTGAGGAAAAGCCGTTAAGACGTTATTAGTTTGGCATAGAATCTGAGGAGAGATAGCAAATCGTTAAATTAGGCTAAAACAAATACGAAAACGTCCACCGCTTTTCAAACGGTTTTTCTTCAAACAGAACTACCTCACTGACATCAATTACGAGCCCGGGTTTGGCTTTGTTCACTGGTGCAGTCCAATGAAAGCGATCCTTTTAATTGCTTGCAAACACTTCAGTAGAGAGCCTTTACTACTAGATAGAAATAATGGCGTAGGCCCGGAAAGTATATGTATTTAAATATATATTTTGAAATTTTATATGTCGAGGAAACTTTTATGAATTAATCTTATGGTGTATATTTATTAAAGCTGTACAAATTTTCTCGCTAGCACCATAATTTAAGTCATTTTCTGAAATTCAATTTCATTGTAAGTCGCTGGTGCTGCGGAAATGTCTTCGATGTTTTAAGTTATTTGAAAGACCGCATAAAATGAAAAACCAGTCTTCAAAGTTTACAGATTTGTAATGAATATTGCTTAAATAGGCGAGAAGTTTTAATAAACTGAAGTTCGAGGAAAACGGTGAAGAAAGCCTTTTATTTGTTTTGTTTTGCGTTGAGCGCCGGTAGCAGACCACCCGTTTGTCCATGATTTCCTTACGAGGAACATTATGGTAAAGCTTCTTTGATTAAAGCGGGCTTTTTGTCCCATCGAACTGGCTGTTTGAAAAACAAAACGCGATTTCAAGCGGGAATTTAAGGGATTTAGCTATTGAAAAACGACGTTTTATTTTATAACTGAGCGACAGTTTCGAGTTATTTTGTTTGCGAGATTATATTATAAGCCAGCAAATAGGAAAAGTAAATTAGGAGGCGCAGCTTTAGGAAATTCATAGCTTCTTCTCGGACAGAGAGGAAAAGGCTTTCGGACACCAGCGCACAGCATTACATAGTTCCAAGAAGATAAGGGGCATGACGTGGCTGATCATTACAACTCTTGTATTCTAGTGAGCTTTCCTATCGAGTTTTATTTGCTACGTGAAACGAGGGAATCGGCAAAATGAATCGTGATATTTTCTCCTTTTCTGTGGAAAGGAGATGGTTTGGTTGGAAAGTAATTATTTCATTTACGGCAGGTGTATTGTGTGAACTTAGCAATCTCCCGCTAGCATTTTCATTTCAAGATTTCCCATACGCACTTAAACGATAATTTCACAGAGTAAGATGTATTTAGAAGTTCTGACCACAGTTTACGTAATCGGGTTTCGAGTCGATTTTTTGGTGCCATGGCTTCTTGGAAATTTACGTGTCGCTATTCAACTCACAAACAAAACAAAGCTGAATTATGTGGAACAGATCTGATGCCGTCTTTAACACCTTACTCGAGAAGAAACGAATTTTGAATCCGGTAAATAGCTTTCTCTAAACTATAGGCACGTGTAGCTTCTGTCAAAATTTCAAATTTGCTGCAATCGTCGGTAGATTTACTACACTTTCTCGCACGTTATTCGAGTCACCATTTCAAGAGGGTCGCACGTGCTTGTTTATAAATGATACTATCAAAAGTTTTATCCCTCAAAAACTAATTACTCAGGAGCCACATCTACAGCAAAGGGGCTGATAAAACAAAGCCAAGCCCTCGGGGAAACAAACTCTACCGACGGTTCTAAATCTAAGGCAGTTTTTACGGAAGCGTCGTTTTTAAAAAAGCGAAACAATTTTAACGCTAACAAAGCACCACACGAGATCATTTCATATAACAAAGGCGAATATCTTCGCAGCTGTTGTTGTAGTACACACGAGCAGCGTCTCCAAATAATACTCTTCGTTGGAAAGACTTAATTAGAACTCTTGCAATAAATCATTTTCCCGTTGCCTTGAATAAACAAGGCAGAACATCCTTGGTTGTTTTCATCTCTTGAACGGAAATGCAACGACCAACTAAATGAAGACTGAATGCGCAGGTATTTGCTTTGGTCAGCATCTTGAAGAACTTCATGATCAGAAAAAATTAACTATCAAAGGGGAGGCAATTTTTAACAGTTCTAACGCCACTTTGACAGAGCTCGCCAATTAGACTGAGCTACTTGAAGAAATGAATTGAATGGTGTACTAGAAAACGATGAGCTGCTTTCCTTTACATATCGCTCCACTGAACTATTTCAAATCAGAGAAAAAAAACGAATTGTCATAGATGTGCCACAAGTCACGAAAATAAACTTTCTTAAACCAAGAACCATAAGAGATATGACTAAAAGTACCGCAGAAAAATAAACAGAAAACAGTATTCGATTGGTGACAAAAATGAAAAATGAAGCTAAGGGCTATTACAGCTATGCATAACCCAAGCTACTTAAGTATGTGACAACTTGATAAAAAGAAAATAAGTCGGTAAAATAAACTTTTAGTCGCCTCAAGGCTGATTCCTAGAATGACAATGAGGGATCTCTCTTCATTGCGAGAGCTTCCTACAATATTGTCGTACTTTCAACTACACTAGGGAGTTTTAGAAACCAATATGAAATGAGATTAGAACGCCTTTGGATATATAATTTTTATTTTCACTGCACACGATAAAAATCAATCAAACTTGAACTTTAAAAATTAGCAAAACTCGGCGATTTTTAGCACTCAGAATGAAAAAAAATAGTAGTAATTTTGAACACGCGCCTTAACGCTTGCCCGAAGAATCTCTGCCTGAGGTGAAAACGCTCTTGTTTTGGAAAACGCAATAGTCAGCTGTGAAAAAGAACCGCATATAAGCGAAACCTATAACACCTGTCGAATCAAGAATCATAACATTCGCTTGAAGAGAGATGGATAGATAGACTTTCTTAAAAATAAGGATAATTGAGCGATCATTGCCTAAAATTCTGTATCGTCAAAAAGCTTTTAGACCAACACAATTTACTGCATTTGGCAAAAGTATCAGAAGTCCTTACAGTTACTTAAAAGTGTAATCGCTTTCACATTTCCATGAATTACTCGTTATAGAATCGAATACAACCATATTCAATCTACAAGTTAATTTTTCAACGATATGTTACAATTGAAAGACAAATTTCAATTTCCACGAGAAAGGAAGAATCTGTCGACACTTCCTATTACATTGAACTGTAATAGGAAATTCGTTTCAATTGATTTTCCCCCCAAACAAACGGAATTCATGATTATACAACCCGGGAGGTAACACAAAAATAAAAACAAAGTAAATAATGGTTTTCATACTGCATAAAATTTGTCTTTTTAACCTTTTCCTACAAAATATTCGGGGTTATAAGAAAATGAATCCACGAAAGCATCAATAAATGCCTGGCTTCACGCGTTATTGAATGCCTAATCTGAAATTTCTACAAAACAGGTCTCCCTTGAAAAGTGGTAACTCATCACTAAAAGCCTAAGACGGCCATTTTGAACATATCCTTCGCATACGAATTAAAACAAACTTAGTGTTCACATGCAAAACTACTACTTAATAAAGAGCTTCAAAGTCTTTTAGTGCCCAGTGGCATTTTTGCAAACGAAAATCGAACAACGAGAAAAAAAATTAAGATAACATGCTTCGTTGAATGTCCTTCTCAACCCCGAGTGCTTAACATACCTTTACGAAGAAAGAAACTTCGAACACAAAGATAAGAGATTCGTAGCAACGCTAGCAGCAGATAAAATTAGCCACGTACTTAAATATTTCATGTTAACATTTGGAAGCTACAAAATTTTAATTATGTAGGAATACGAATCTGATGCAGTAGTAAAGAGTAATTGCTGAATGACTGAGTGAGTGCAGGCCACTACCATCCAAGAACAAAATGGCGTCGGTCACTCACGCATGTGAAATTTGAAAATTATATCCACTGTTTTCCATGTGAAGACCGGCCTTTCTCCCTAAAAATAATACTGCAGCTGTGACTTATTTCTATCAGTTGCATGTCTCATAGAGACAAAGAAGCTGCTTTGCTAATGCCTATCTTGGAAAAAGTATGATGGGTTCACTCAGTAGAAAAAACTTTCATTATAACTTGCCTACCGAGTAACATAAGGCAGAAATTGATCGGTTATTCAGCTGTCTTGTAAAACAGCCACGGAAAAGTGCAACAGCTCACGGACGGGTACAAAGAGATCATTTAAGAGAAAAGGAAGAAGGAACCTGATATGTCTTAAATTCAAATGCTTTCAATTTTCTCCAATGAGTGCTTTCAGTGCACAGGTGAGTGCCATGTTGCAGTGGCGGCATGTCTTTGTCTATTAGTTTGGTTCTTCTTTAAGATTTTCTACTGGTTTATTGACTGTTGAATGCTTAAAAGCTAGTAAACTTTAAACTAAAGATCAGTATGATGAAATTTTAAAGGGTTTAAAGCGTTTATTTATTGATGTACGCGGGTAAGCCGCAAAACGGCAGAACAAAACGAGTAGAGCTTTCATCACTTGAGATTTGCATGGTGGCAAACCCATCAGAAAGCAGGTTTCTTTGAATTTCTCTCGTTGGCGATTCGAGCTTGAAGGCGTCAAACTGACGCTTATATTTGGCGCTGTACGAGCATAGTCTTAGTCGCTATGAAATGTGTTATAATTTGTACACAAATTAAGCATTTAAAGGAGATGAATTTCTCGAACTGCCGAAACAAAGGACGTCAATTTTCTCCGCCGAGCTATTTATACCGAAGCTCAGTAGTAAGGTAAGAATCCAGTAGTTTTGGTAAACCAAGCATAAGACAACGACATTTTTCTCATTTCTTTACAGACTAGTCACTAGTAATTAGACAATCTGGCAAAAAATATCTAGATAACAAGCAAACATTCAACCATTATTTAGCATTTACTGCTGTCAGAGAGCGAAACAAAGAGAGACAGTATATTCATCAATACTTCAAATTACCCATTCTAGACTCGCCAATTCTTAAGCTAAAAGCAAATTTTTCACAGACTGCCTGATAATGAAGTGACTATAAAACACCTTGGAATGAAATGTTAATGATGAACTGTATATCAAGCTTTCGCCACTTTCTTTTTTATTGCGACTATTCAAGCTACAATTAACAAGCTTATTCATCACAATTCTACCTGCCTCGTGACTACATCGGCCAGTGATCCATGGCTGCTTAAAAAACACACAAATGTGTCCAACCTCGTAAAGTTGGTCTAATTTTAACGAATTGGGCAACAATTACACTTATTTCCCACATAGGCAATATCAATAAGCATGTAGTCGGGTACATCATGATGATAAACGATACAACTTGCAATGGCTCTTACACAGTCTATATGATTATATTGTCGTGCTCCAAGACATTTTGCGTTTAAAAATACGGGCTATATAGAGGGAAGAAATACATAATACATCAGATCTATATTGTTAAGCAAATAGACATATATTTTTGTGTTTTAGTAAAAACATTATCACCTGATACTACGAACGTGAAGGAAAAACCACCACTTGCGAGGCAAAAGAATTAGGAGGAAAATTGTATTGTAATATCACAACTACCCCCCACGAATATTAGAAGGATATAGGACAAAACCTTGAAACACGAGTATGAAGCTAGGTCTAGATA